AAAAAAAAAAACAGCCGTAAAATGGCACCAGGAACACAAGGAATCACAAATGGCACCAGGAACACAAGGAATCACTTTTGTTGCCAGCAGAAGCAGAGAGCAACTGTGGGATATTCGAAATCCTTGCGGATATTCGAAATTCCGGCCGAGCTGCCCCTGGAACTGGCCCAGGTGACCTCCAGCCTCGGTCACCCGATATCCCGGGACAATTCCTGCCTCTCTGGAGCCTCTCCCGGCGTCTCCCGGGCCCCYTCCCTCCCCCTGCCGAGCCGCCCCCGAGGCGCAGATGGAGCGGAGCCGCTCCCGTCTGCGGGAACAACGCCGGGAACGGGCTGGGGAGCGCTCCAGCTGGCGAGCGGGGCGGCAGCGGCGGCGCGGGGACATCCCGGAGCCATCTGTCACCGGCACCGGGCGGGATGCCAGCCCGACACCGCCCCCGGGCCGGGCACTTCCCCGGGGGGCGATCCCCGTGTGCTGCTGCTCCCCGCGGGGCGGCGGCGTCGAGATTTGGGATTGAAACTGGGATTGGGTTTGGGATTGGAACTGGGATCGGGTTTGGGATTGGAACTGGGATCGGGTTTGGGATTGGAACCGGGATAGGAACCGGGATCGGGTTTGGGATTGGAACTGGGATCGGATCTGGGATGGGATCGGGGATTGGATCGGGGATAGGAACTGGGATCGGCTTTGGGATCGGAACCGGGATCGGGTTTGGGATTGGAACTGGGATAGGAACCGGGATCGGGTTTGGGATTGAATCTGAGATAGGAATCGGGATCGGGTTTGGGATTGGAACTGGGATCGGGTTTGGGATTGGAACCGGGATCGGGTTTGGGATTGAATCTGGGATGGGATATGGGATTGGATCGGGGATAGGAACTGGGATCGGTTTTGGGATTGGAACCGGGATCGGGTTTGGGATTGGAATTGGGATCGGATCTGGGATTGGATCGGGGATAGGAACTGGGATCGGATCTGGGATTGGATATAGGATCGGATCTGGGATCGGCTTTGGGATCGGAACCGGGATGGGAACCGGGATGGGAACTGGGATCGGCTTTGGGATTGGAACCGGGATCGGGCTTGGGATTGGATCGGGGATAGGAACTGGGATCGAATCGGGGATAGGAACTGGGATCAGCTTTGGGGGCGGCAGCGCCGAGCTTGAGATCGGAACCGGGATCAGAACTGGGATCAGACATGGGATCGGATCTGGGATAGGATCTGGGATCGGAACTGGAATTGGATCGGGGATAGGAACCGGGATTGGCTTTGGGGGCGGCAGCGCCAAGCTTGGGATCGGACCTGAGATCGGGTTTGGATTCGGCTTTGGGATCGGATCTGGGATTGGATCTGGGATCAGATCTGGGATTGGATGTGGGATCGGATCTGCGATTGGCTTTGGGGGTGGCAGCACCGAGCTTTGGGATCGGATCCGGGATCGGATCTGGAATTGGATCTGGGATCGGCTTTGCGATCGGCTCTGGTATGGGATCCGGGACAGGCTTTGGGATCGGATCTAGGATGGAATCTCGGATCGGGGAGCGGCGGTGCTGCGGGAGCTGCTCCTGAGGGGACACGAATCCCCCGTGCTCCAGCCCGGCTGGCAGGACCCAGCTTTGGGTTCGGCTCTGGGATGGGATCTGGAATCAGGAAGCGGTTGTATCGCTCTGGCTGCTCCTGAGGGGACAGGAATCCCCCAGTCCCCGCTGGCAGCCCCTCCACGGCCACTCCTCCCCGGTCCCATCGCTCCGTCCCGCTGGAACCCCCGCGCCAGGAAAGCAGCGGCCGCTCCATCGCTGGAATCACCCGAGGCCACCCCGGAGCGCGCTGTGACAGCGGAGGTGGCGCTGCCCTCGCCCGGGTGGCCCCGCGCGCTCGCTCCGGTGCCACCACCCCACCCCAAACCGTTCCACGGTTCCCCCGCCCCTCTGTGACATCACCCCGGCCCGGGGACACCGCGGCCGCTGCAGGTGCCACCTGCGCTCCCGACCCCGCCACCTGCGCTGGCACCGATGGCTTCGCTGCTGGCGCTGCTGGCGCTGCTGGCCCTGGCCGGGCCCGTGGTGGCCACCGGGGACACCTGCAGGTGAGCGGCGCCGGGGCTGCCGGGGGCTCGGCCACGCTCGGGGGGTCCCGGCGGCAGCGCCTGGGGACAGCCGTGTCCCCCGGGGGTCCNCTGGGATCGGGTTTGGGATTGGAACTGGGATCGGGTTTGGAACTGGGATTGGATCTGGGATTGGATCTGGGATTGGATCGGGGATCGGAACTGGGATCGACTTTGGGATCGGAACCGGGATTGGGTTTGGGATTGGAACTGGGATCGGATCTGGGATCGGAACTGGGATCGGATCTGGGATTGGATCGGGGATTGGATCGGGGATCAGAACTGGGATCGGCTTTGGGATCAGAACCGGGATTGGGTTTGGGATTGACTGGGATCGGATCCGGGATTGGAGCGGGGATCGGCTCTGGGATAGGAACTGGGATCGACTTTGGGGGCGGCAGCACTGAGCTTGGGATCGGAACCGGGATCGGCTTTGGGATGGGAGCCGGGATAGGATCTGGGATTGGAGCGGGGATAGGAACTGGGATCAGGTTTGGGATTGGAACCGGGATCGGGTTTGGGATCGGAACCGGGATCGGTATTGGGATCGGAACTGGGATTGGATCAGGGATAGGAACTGGGATCGGCTTTGGGGGTGGCAGCGCCGAGCTTTGGGATCGGATCTGGGATTGGATCAGGGATTGGATCGGGGATAAGAACTGGGATCGGCTTTGGGGGCGGCAGCACCGAGCTTTGGGATCAGATCTGAGATCGGCTTTGGGATTGGAACGGGGATTGGATCGGGGATAGGAACTGGGATCGGCTTTGGGGGCGGCAGTGCCGAGCTTTGGGATCAGACCTGAGATCGGGTTTGGGATTGGAACTGGGATCGGATCTGGGATCGGCTTTGGGGGTGGCAGCGCCAAGCTTGGGATCAGATCTGGGATCGGCTTTGGGATCGGATCCGGGTTCAGCTTTGGGATCGGATCCGGGATTATATCTGAGATCGGATCTGGGATCAGATCCAGGATCGGCTTTGGGATTGGAATCAGGATGGGATCTGGGATTGGATCTGGGATCGGAACTGGGATCGGCTTTGGGATCAGATCTAGGATTGGATCTGGGATCGGAACCGGGATCGGCTCTCGGGTGGGATCTGGGATGGGCTCTGGGATCGTCTTTGGGATCGGATCTGGCATGAGATCTCAGATCGGGGAAGGTCGGGGCCACGGGAGCTGTTCCTGAGGGGACATGAATTGCACCAGTCCCGGCTGGCAGAGCCGAGCATTGGGATTGGATCTGGGATGGGATCTGGGATGGCATCTGGGATGGGATCAGGAATCAGGAAGCGGTTGTAGCGCTGGAGCAGCTCCTGAGGGGACAGGAATCCCGCAGTCCCCGCTGGCAGCCCTCCACGGCCGCTCCTCCCCGGTCCCATCGCTCCGTCCCGCTGGAACCCCCGCGCCAGGAAAGCAGCGGCCGCTCCATCGCTGGAATCACCCGAGGCCACCCCGGAGCGCGCTGTGACAGCGGAGGTGGCGCTGCCCTCGCCCGGGTGGCCCCGCGCGCTCGCTCCGGTGCCACCACCCCACCCCAAACCGTTCCACGGTTCCCCCGCCCCTCTGTGACATCACCCCGGCCCGGGGACACCGCGGCCGCTGCAGGTGCCACCTGCGCTCCCGACCCCGCCACCTGCGCTGGCACCGATGGCTTCGCTGCTGGCGCTGCTGGC